TCAGTGTGTGGAGGATGGCTGAGCATTCCTGCCAGACATAAGTAAGACTGTTTATAGTAATATACACCACTGTGTATATACATTGGTGTGCACCACTCAGTGTATATATATTGAGATATACACACAACGCACATATACTGAGATATACACAGTGTATATACACTGATATATATATACACACTTTGTGTACATACACTGATACATACACACACGTACTTAATGTACATACACTAATATATATACACACACAGAGTACATACACTGATATATATACAGTGTATATACACTGATATATACACACACAGTGTATATACACTGATATATATACACACACACTTTGTGTACATACACTGATACATACACACACGTACTTAATGTACATACACTGATATATATACACACACAGAGTACATACACTGATATATACACAGTGTATATACACTGAAATATACACACTATACATACACTGATATATACACACACATACACACTGATATATACACACACAGTGTATATACACTGATATATGAACATTAAAATGGTATAAAATACCGACAGGTTGTTAGGTAAGACACATATGCAACAGTTAGGTATCTTTATTATGAAACGTTTCGCCTACACAGTAGGCTTCTTCAGTCAAGTACAGAAAAGTTGATAGAAGCAGAAGATACTCCATATTGTTTCAGACAACGGAACAATGCTCTTCTCCAGACTGAGGGACTGACCACCTCAAAACTTTAAGGGTGATGGACTGATTACATCGTCTTCAAGTATCTTCTGCTTCTATCAACTTTTCTGTACTCGACTGAAGAAGCCTACTGTGTAGGCGAAACGTTTCATAATAAAGATACCTAACTGTTGCATATGTGTCTTACCTAACACACTGATATATACACACAGTGTACATACATTAATATTGAGATATTGATATTGAGATATACACACAGTGCACATATACTGAGATATACACAGTGTATATACACTGATATATACACACAGTGTACATACATTAATATTGAGATATTGATATTGAGATATACACACAGTGCACATATACTGAGATATACACAGTGTATATACACTGATATATACACACAGTGTACATACATTAATATTGAGATATTGATATTGAGATATACACACAGTGCACATATACTGAGATATACACAGTGTATATACACTGATATATACACACAGTGTACATACATTAATATTGAGATATTGATATTGAGATATACACACAGTGCACATATACTGAGATATACACAGTGTATATACACTGATATATATACACACACACTTTGTGTACATACAGTATACACACAGTGTATATACACCGAGAAATACACCTTTCGATATTTTTAAAAAAATTTCTTTGTTAATTAACAATATAACTTTTTAGGACCGGCGATTTTTTTTCTTATATTCATTATTTTGTACAAAATTTCTGTTCCATAAAATAGACGACTTTAGATTTTGTCTATAAGTTTTGTTGTTTATGTTTTATTTCTTGCGTTTGTGTTTTATTGGTGTTTTAATGTGTTAATCTGTTTCTCTGTTTTATTGGCGTTTTAATGTATGTTTTAATCTATTTCTCTGTTTTATTGGCGTTTTAATGTATGTTTTAATCTATTTATCTGTTTTATTGGTGTTTTAATGTATGTTTTAATCTATTTCTTTGTTTTATTGGTGTTTTAATGTATGTTTTAATCTATTTCTCTGTTTTATTGGTGTTTTAATGTATGTTTTAATCTATTTCTCTGTTTTATTGGTGTTTTAATGTGTTTTAATCTATTTCTCTGTTTTATTGGTGTTTTAATGTATTTTTTAATCTATTTCTCTGTTTTATTGGTGTTTTAATGTTTTGGTCTGTTTTTATGTTTTTAGGTGTTTTAATGTGTGTTTTAATCTGTTTTTAGTGTTTTAATGTTTTTTCTTAAATATTTTGATATTTTAGTCATAATTTCAGGAAGAAATTCCTTGAAACTTTATAATTTTTCTGCGAGTTATACAACACACACAGGAGCGGTAACTCGACCCTTGCAACCATAACTAGGTGAGTACACGATACAGCTCATGGATCAGGGAGTGGACTTAGTAACGACCAGCAAAGAAGCGGGACAGGAACTGTGACTCAACCTTTGCAACCACAAAGTACACACACACACACACAGATGAATCACAGGGATGTTAGGAAGTATTTCTTCAGCCACAGAGTAGTTAGTAAGTGGAATAGTTTGGGAAGCGATGTAGTGGAGGCAGGATCCATACATAGCTTTAAGCAGAGGTACGATAAAGCTGACGGTTCAGGGAGAGTAACTTAGTAGCGACCAGTGAAGAGGCGGGGCCAGGAGCTTGGACTCGACCCCCGCAACCTCAGCTAGGTGAGTACAACTAGGTGAGTACACACACACACACACACACACACACACACACACACACACACACAGGATGTTCCAGGGAGGGGACACAGAAACAAGAGGCCACAATTGGAAGTTGAAGACACAAATGAGTCAGAGAGATAGTAGGAAGTATTTCTTCAGTCATAGAGTTGTAAGGCAGTAGAATAGCCTAGAAAATGACGTAGTGGAGGCAGGAACCATACACAGTTTTAAGACGAGGTTTGATAAAGCTCATGGAGCGGGGAGAGAGAGGGTCTAGTAGCAACCGGTGAAGAGGCGGGGCCAGGAGCTAGGACTCGACCCCTGCAACCACAAATAGGTGAGTACAAATAGGTGAGTACACACACACACACACACACACACACACACACACACAAACACTAACACCGTGCCGTCTACCAGCAGGTGTGTGTGTGTATGTGAGGATAGGAAGGGCGCTAGATAATACTATCTCCTCCCTGGAATGGAACTGTGTGGAGGTGCTTCTCCCCATCCTCCACGTCTCAGAGATGTGAAGGCTCGACATTGGCAGGAGATTCTCCTACAGGTAGGTTGACGGACTGATAATCTCTGAGGGAGAATAATATTTGGGTGTAGGGTAATGAGGGGGGTTTTGCTATGTGAATTTATTTATTGGGTAACATTGAAGTGGATTGGCGAATATATTGTTATTGGGTTTGGTTTGAGAAGGATTTAGTTGTATGGGCAGTAGGCACTGCTGCAGTGTTCCTCCTGTCTTATGTTCTTATGGAGAGCTCCTTGCTTGTATTACGTAATTGTGTACGCATGGAAGGAGTTCCCCCCTGATGGTTGTTGTCATCCTGTTACACACACAGGAAGGTAGGTATCTGTGTGTGTTTATGTAGTCTCTTTTGTGGGTCTGTATGCCTATATGTGAGTTTCACCTGTGTCTTTATTCAGTTGTCCATGTTTATATATCTGTTGACGTGTGTGTGTGTGTGTGTGTGTGTGTGTGTGTGTGTGTGTGGTGTGTGTGTGTGTGTGTGTGTGTGTTTTACACAAGATTGTATTATCTTGTGTAATATCTATCTCGTGTAATTAACTGTCCTGTGTAATCATCTATCCAAATTTTCTGTTTATGCTAAGAATTAATCAAACTCACAAACCAATTAATAATATCCCTAATTACCTATTACACAGTTAATTACCACCATTTTATTAATTAGGAGTGATTGTTAATGACCCTTATGGGAGTCTTAATCACCTGAGTGTGCTTGTTAATTATCTGTGATCTTTAATTACCTTAATGATCTGTTAGATAATTAATGTGTGCTTGCTAATGACCTGTTACATAATTACGTGTGGTTAATAACTAATTACTAACTAGATATTTATGTATGTGTATATTAGTGTTTATGATATACCACTATGTTGGTTTTGTAATATTTAACTAGCTAGTTCTAGTGTTATTAACTAGCTAGTTTTAGTGTAATTATCTAGCTTGTTCTAGTGTAATTACTTAGCTACTTCTAGTGTAATTAACTAGCTAGTTTTAGTGTAATTACCTAGCTAGTTCTAGTGTAATTACTTAGCTATTATCTAGTGTATTAATGTCAGTCAAGTCCAATTGAATTATTTCTTATTATAGTAGTATATATATATATATTTTATTATTATATATATATATATATTATATTATTATATTTATATATATATATATATTTTTATTATATTATATATATATTATAATTGTTTTAAAGACATTTTACTCACTAGTGCTTTCATTAGCTTCTCTCTAACCCCAATCTTAACCTCACACTCTCCTCCCATATCAACCTAACTTATCTTCAACGACCCAACTGACTATATCTAACACTAACCTAACCTAACCTAACTACACTAACCTACCTAACCTAACCTAACCTTAACCTAACCCTGTGCCTAGCCAGCATATCTGAGGAGGAACGGTAAGTTTATCTCTACCAAGAATTGACTATTTCTTTCTCTCTTCTGTAAGATAATCTCAACAAAATTTAAATTTTAAACTAACCGACAGCTTTCTTTAAAGTATCTTACAGCCACATCTTTATAGGAAATTATCTTACAGACATTTTATAAGATTATCTTAGAGCCTACTCTTTATAAGATTATCTTAGAGCCAATCTTATAGTTTACTTCAGAGCCAGCCTTCTTTATAAGATTATCTTAGAGCCACATCTTTATAAGATTATCTTACAGCCACATCTTTATAAGATTATCTTACAGACACATCTTTATAAGATTATCTTACAACCACATCTTTATAAGATTATCTTACAGACACATCTTTATAAGATTATCTTACAACCACATATTTATAAGATTATCTTACAGACACATCTTTATTTCTAGAAATTATGATAAGTGTTATTAAGATGTTTACAGTTTAACATCATCACAATATCTTAAAACTCACTGATTTTTCACTGAATTTGAAAGACTGAGACACTTTCAAAAGTTATTCTCACTGATGTGCAGTTCAGAAAGTCAACCTGACTGAAAACAAAAATCTGAAAGTATATACATGTTGTGTACGTGTTTCAAACGTGTTGTTTACGTAAAGACACCATCTTGCTTCCCTCGTTCCACCACTTGAAGGCCTCACCTGTAAGCACAGAGGACTCGGCAAGAGGCAGCTCTGCAGGAAGAAGAGGAGCAGCTGCAGCAGGAGTAGCTGCAGCAGGAGCAGCAGCAGGTGGGAACCAGAGTGTGGGTACAGCGTGTGAAAGAGAGGAACAGCAAGATGATCAACAGCGAAGGTACAAGGTGGTGATCATGGGTGCTGCTAAAGTGGGCAAGACAGCCATTATTAACCAGTTCCTGTACGACACCTTCACTTCCAAGTACACCAGGACGGTGGAGGAGATGCATCATGGAGAGTACGAGGTGAGAGACAGAGAAAGAGAATGTTGCAGATTTGTCAAAGATAGAGACACATAGACAGAGAGATGTTGCGAATTTGTCAGAGACAGAGAGATGTTGCAAAATTGTCAAAATATTTTAATATATATATATATATATATATATATATATATATATATATATATATATATATATATATATATATATATATATATATATATAATATATATTTCCAATACGAAATCAAAATATTACATAGTTGAAAGAACCTATATGTGTCTTTTCTTTAATTTTGAGCGAGGTTTCCCTGTAGCACAAGTGGTATCTTATTATCCCCTCTGCGTGTCCTAATTCCCATGTCTTGTTCCCCTCTCCTGTGTCTGCTGCAGGTATCCGGCATTTCCCTGACGCTGGACATTCTGGACACGTCAGGATCGTATGAGTTCCCAGCCATGAGGGAACTGTCAGTCAACACTGCTGACGCCTTCATCCTAGTCTACTCCATCACTGATGCTGCATCCTTCGAGGAAGTACGTTTCAGCGTGTCCCTCCCTCCCTCAACACCCATGTCATGTTATCCCAGTGATGGTCTCTGTGTGATAACTAGAGAAAGCCTCTTCTTGGTGTGGTTTTAGTGGAAGGTTCAAAGTTTGGATCTGTGAGTGCCTAGCTGACGTATTGATTGAAAAATAGACATTTTCTGTGTGGTTGTCTTCCATCTTGAACGCTGATAGTTAGCAGCATTAGAAACTAATGTCACACTCTGTACTATTCCTTTTGCGAGCAGTGAAGTAGAGAGGGCTGGGTTGTTGGAGGTGTGGATACCTTTCTCGGATACCGCAGTGACTGAGACATATCTAGTTTGAAATTAAAACCTTGCTGAAAAGTCACTCCAATACCACCAGTCAAAGAATGCATAAATCCCTAAAATAGAGATTAAATTAGACTGTCAGTGTATATATACACAGTCATACACCTCTTAGTGTATATACACTGAGAAACACACGTGTCAGTGAATATCCACTGAGAGACATACACTTCTCAGTGAATATACAATGAGAGGCATACACCTGTCAGTGTAGTGTATATACACTGAGAAACATACACCTGTCAGTGTATACACACTGAGTAACATATTGTGACTAAATAATGCAAGATAACTGGGTGTTGAACCTGTGTCTTACTCAAAGGTAACTTTCTAGTCTGCACCCACACCTACGTCTGGCCCACAGGTACGACATCTACGAGAGTTCATTCTACAGACCAAGAAGGAGGCAGTGCCCATCGTGGTGGTGGGCAACAAGGCGGACCTCGAAGACCAGCGAGTGGTGCCTCTGGAGACCGCGGAGACCACGGTCTTGGTGAAGTGGGAGAACGGTTTCCTGGAGTCTAGCGCGAAGGATAACCTCAATGTCCTTCACATCTTCAAGGAGCTCTTGAACCAGGCCAAAATTAGGTGAGTAGCCTTGGCCAAAATAAGATAGCAAATATCCTACATTGCCTTGCAACTTATGAGACAATTTGCAGATACATGTGCAATGTACTCATGTTGGCCCTTTTATTTTTGTTCTAGTTCCTAGACCTTTTGTGTATCCATGTGCTTTTTTACGCTACTATCCACAAATGGTTATATTCTTGCATTACCGTCCACAGGTTGGATATGGGATCCACAATAATATAGTCGCTTGGGCGTCAAAATCGAACTCCTGGCTCAAGTTTCCTTGTATTTCAGATACGCGCTGAGTCCTGCAGTCAAGAGGAGGCGGCAGTCGATGCCCAATGTGGGTCTGCAGATCACCCCGGCACAGCTCTCACATCTCAGACATATTAAACAGAAGAGCAGTGGCAAACGCAACTCATGCAGTATTTCTTAAACCCGACCATAAATGTTACTGCTGCAGTATTTCTTCTACCCGACCATGAACGCAACTCCTGCATATTTCTTATACCCGACCATGAATGCTACACCTTCTCTATCAAGCGAAAGCTGCCTAACTTCGGGACTTACAGGAAGATAAAAAAGCTAGTATAATTTGTAGAAAAGGTCAATTATCTACAGATATATTCAAGATGGAGGATAAATTGCTATTGTCAGCCATGTTTTGTAGCCTTGACAATAAAATGAAAATGTCGACAGAAAAGATTTTCTTAAAGCAGTGGAGTGACTTCAAGACTCAATCTTCGTGTTGTGGATCTGAAGGTTCACTGTGTGTTGAAGAACTCTTTAACATAGATTAAGCCTAAGATATGACCTAATCTATGGTGACTGGGACAACCGGGGGTGGAAGGATCCTACCACCTTCTGTGGCAGGAACCTACCACCTTCGGTGGAAGGTACCTACCACTTTTGGTGGAAGGTTCCTACCATGATAACGTCATGGCGTTGCCCGGGATCAGTGCTATGAAGACCCCGATACTAATCATGTACCAGGACCCCTCATACCAAACGTGTACCAGCCTGAGAAACTTACCACGTACCCAGGAATCTTGCTAATGGTAACGTAATAAGCAAAACATAACGAACATTGAGTGACTCCTGGTTTATATACATCAAAGAAATGTTACCAATAAATAGCAAGCGAACCAAAAGATAGACATGAAATCTAGATATAAATGACTGAAACATTTCGTTTCTAGCAAGTGCTAAGAAAAATAGGAAATAAAGCACGAGAGTTATATTAGGTTTGTCAGGAAACGGGACAAGTGTTTCCTGACGCAAGTCTTAGTCGTGTTAGGTAAAAAACACTGGTGTCCTTTTACATAACATATTGTTGGTAATTCTACCAACATTATCACGGTTTTAGTCATGATGATGACCCTCACTTGAAGCTTTTAGTCATCAGACCGAAGCCTTCCTCTGGCTTCCCCTTCCACCCATTCAAAAACTATGGTTATGATAACCATTAGTGTTCCAGCACTGGAATGTCCTTCCTCAGCCCTGACAGGAGGAATGATATATCTGTTGCTGGAGTCGGGGAAAAAGACAGAGAAAGTAATGGCTTTCCTCTGGCACCAGACGTTATTTGAGGGAGTTATTGGTTAATAGCGGGGATTTATAGCGATACTTAAAGTGTAATTTGACGATAGACGTATATGAAAAAGAAAATTTGTAATGACATTTATTCGACGCTTCTGGGAAATATACAGCAATATATTTCTTAATGGAAAATGTGGGCAGCAAAATTACTGAAACCTGTAAATAACAGGAGAGTGACTTGTGTGTAAACAACAGGAGAGTGACTTGTGTGTAAACAACAGGAGAGTGACTTGTGTGTAAACAACAGGAGAGTGACTTACGTGTGTAAACAACAGGAGAGTGAATTACGTGTGTAAACAACAGGAGAGTGACTTACGTGTGTAAACAACAGGAGAGTGACTTACGTGTGTAAACAACAGGAGAGTGACTTACGCGTGTAAACAACAGGAGAGTGACTTACGTGTGTAAACAACAGGAGAGTGACTTACGTGTGTAAACAACAGGAGAGTGACTTACGCGTGTAAGAAAAAAACAAGAGGAATGACTTAGGTGGATTTGCGTAAATAAATTATGATCTGCCAAAGATTTCATGAATAAATCTCTCAATATTTCAACTAGGCTACCACCCATCATCCAGTTTAAAATACTCTCAAAATTTATTTTGGGCACAACTGCTGAATTCATAATGGTATTTTTCACGTGACCATTTTTTTTTTTTTCAAAAAAATAAAAAGCATTGTGACGTACAAGTGGGAAAATTCAACGGAAAAATATCCAATATACATTTGAATATTTTTTTCAGATTCTTCAAACTTCAAACGGAATGTAAACAGATGGTAATCTAAGCTTTTGGGGACTACCTGACAGCTTGAGCTGAAAGCTTTAGTTATAACTGTCTGGAAATTGTGAAACAGAGTCAGGGTTGAACTAGGCTTGAGTTTGTTGAACCAGGCTTCATCTCTAATTCTAATTGTATGACCCATCTTCGTCTCTAATTCTATGACCAGTCATCCTCTCTCATGCAGGCTTAGCGCTTAGTATTTAATATAATAATTATGCTCTCTAATTCTAAATATTCTCCATCTCCATTTCTAAATATTCCCCGTCTCTAATTCTAAATATTTCCCTTAGCAAGAAGTGTTTTCAAAAGCCCATGCAAAAAACCTAAGCATTTAGGTAAGATTTCATTTAGATTATGCTGCTCAGTTCTGATCTCTGTATTACAAAATGGGTATAAATGCGCTATAAATAGGATGAGTATAAATGCGCTGTAAAAATGATGACGAAGTTGATTCCATGTCGGAAATCTTTCCTATAGGCTGAAGGCAATGGCCTCTCCTCCTCTGGAAAGACATGAAAATAGGCTGAAGGCAATGGCCTCTCCTCCTCTGGAAAGACATGAAAATAGGCTAAAGGCAATGGCCTCTCCTCCTCTGGAAAGACATGAAAATAGGCTGAAGGCAATGGCCTCTCCTCCTCTGGAAAGACATGAAAATAGGCTGAAGGCAATGGCCTCTCCTCTTCTGGAAAGACATGGAGATAGGCTGAAGGCAATGGCCTCTCCTCTTCTGGAAAGACATGGAGATAGGCTGAAGGCAATGGCCTCTCTTCCTCTGGAAAGACATGGAGATAGGCTGAAGGCAATGGCCTCTCTTCCTCTGGAAAGACATGGAGGCGATATATGATTGAAGTGTACAAATGAAAAACATTTTTGAAAGTATTTAACCAAGGCAGGACTCGTAGCAATGGATTCGAGTAGGACAAATCTAGATTTGGAAAGGAATTAGGGAAGCACTGGGTTGGCAATAGAGTTGTAGATGAGTGAAACGAACTCCAGGTAGCGCCGTTGACGCAAGGTCTTTGGGTAGCTTTAAATATAGGTTGGACCTGCTTTGCATGGGCCAGTAGGCCTACTGCAGTGTCCTTCGTTATTGTATTCACGTTTGTAAACCAGATGATGGGGCTACCAATGATGCGTTGGTATCCCCAAGCACACTATATAAGCTTAATGGGGCTACCAATGATGCGCTGATATCCCTAAACACACTATGTAAACTGAATACCGCTACGAATGCAATGTTGGTATCCTCACACTGTGTAAACTGGATGGGGTACCAATGCAGTGTTAGTATCCCTACACACTGTGTAAGCTGGATGGGGTACCAATGCAGTGTTAGTATCCCTACACACTGTGTAAACTGGATGGGGTACCAATGCAGTGTTAGTATCCCTGCACACTGTGTAAGCTGGATGGGGTACCAATGCAGTGTTAGTATCCCTACACACTGTGTAAACTGGATGGGGTACCAATGCAGTGTTAGTATCCCTACACACTGTGTAAGCTGGATGGGGTACCAATGCAGTGTTGGTATACCCACACACTGTAAGATGGACGGGGTACCAATGCAGTGTTGGTATCCCCACACACACTGTGTAAGCTGACCGGGGGTACCAATGCAGTGTTGGTATCCCAACACTAAGCTGGATGGGAATACCAATGTAAGCGTTATCCCCTTACAGTGTAAGCTGGATGGAGTACCAGTGCAGTGTTGGTATCCACAGTGTAAGCTGGTTAGGTCTACCACTAGACTACTTTCTTCATTTTCGGCTTCAGCTTTGAACTTCGGCAGGTTTCCTATGAGAAATATATCACAGATCTTTATAGTTTTCCTCCTATAATGTCTTTTTCATTCCATCCGCCTTTAAACGCTATCGATTTCCAAAAAATTCTGAAGCAATAGTCACGTGTTGAGAGTAACAAACATGCCTTCACACGCCTCCTCTAACAGCCTATCAGACTCCAGCTATAGGAATAAATACAACCTGATTGGCTGATTGAGGAGGCTTATATGATATTCCCGAACACTGTAACAGCCTATCAGAATTCAACTTTGGGAAAAAAATAGTTTGATTGGCTGATGCAGAGGTTTGTATGATAGTCCTGAATATTAACAACCTATCAAAATAAGCTTTGAGAATAAATGCAATCTGATTGGCTGGTGCAGCAGAGACTTGTATGAGTCCCGAAAACTGTAACAGCCAATCAGAATCCAGTTTTGGGAATAACTACAACCTGATTGGCTGATTGAGAAGACTTTTATGATATTCCCGAACACTGTAACAGCCTATCAGAACCCAGCCTTGGGAATAAATACAACCAGATTGGCTGCTGCAGAGGCTTGTATGATATTTTCAAACACTAGCATTACTACTAGACATTCATAGGATCAAAGGAGACGTAATGTCATGCACATTCCGGCCGACATTTTCATTTCATGCAAACGAGGCTTCTCATGCAAAATCTTTTCTCAACAAACATTAAAAGCGAATGTTTTAAATTCAATAAAAAACTATTAACATACATTGTGATTTTTACTGGTGTATATACTGATATATATATAATATATATATATATATATATATATTATATATATATATATATATATTATATATATATTATATATATATATATATATATATATATATTATAAATGGAAGAGAAAACCTTGTTGGGAATTTGCCTGACTTATACACCTTGTGGAAAATATTTTCCCAGCTAGAATGTGTATATAAATATAGTTTATATAGATGAGGTTCTAGATGGAGGTGTGGGGTGCCCATAGCCTCGGAAAAATAAAAATGCTTGACGGGGAATAAAAATTACTAGATCTCTCCTTGAGGCTGTTTGAAAATTCTATTTAAACCACACTAGGTTTTATATATACTTTATTATGAAAAACGGTACACAGGTATACATTACAGACTTAATATAATTTCCTACTTATGTACGGTTTTATTGCAATAAAACATAAGAGAACCAGATGATACAATATAATATCAACTTCTAAATAACCAGTTAAATCATTTAAACATCTCAATAGTAACATCTAAATCGTTTCAGTTTTTTTTACATAATACCTATGATACAATAAGCTGATATAACAAGTAATAAACATTAAAAGTCTGTCTGTATAGGGAAAATAATAAATATTGACTGTGGTTGAGCCTGGATCACCAGTTTGGTCAGTGATTCAGTCACACCTGGCGGTGGTTCCTCCTGCTGCGCCTTCTGCAGCAACTTTCCGCTGAAATACTCTCTCCCGTCGTGTATTAGTACTGCGAAGGACTGATTTCTGTGTCCAGTAGTTACCCTGGGAAGTTGGGTTGACACTGGGAACAATGTGGGAGAGATATAGAAAAAAATATTCGTATTTAAGACACTGGAACGCGTCAGTTTGTACCTCCTAATTGCGGGTTATTTGTGTATTGTGTATGTGTGTATTGTGACCTTTTCCATTATTGGGTGATAGAGATTGCAGTGAGACACAGACAGCTAAAGATGGAGATGTTTCGCCCTCCTACAGAGATATAACTATGGTCCTCGCAAGGTAAGTGCTCAACCAGTAGTGTGTGTGATGATTAAGACACATTTACAACAGTTGGGTATCTTGTTGAAACGTTTCTCCTATACACTAGGCTTCTTCAGTCAAATACCGAGGCAGCAGCTGTAGTGGTGAAATAAAGATGTAATCAGTCAACCTTGGAGAAATGGTCTTGGAGGGGGTCAGTCCCTCAGGCTGGAGAAGAGTTTCTCTCTATGGAGCCGAGGCACTGACCACCTCAAATACTATTTCTTCAAGGTTTATGGACTGATTACATCATTTTCATTTCACTACTACACCTGCTGCCTCTGTATTTGACTGAAGAAACATACTGAGTAGGTGAAACGTTTCAACAAGATACCCAACTGTGGCTCATGTGTCTTAATCATCAAATTGTCTTTATTTTATACCATTTACACCATGACAGTAGTACCTATTATTTGTGACTTGATATTCCAGGTTGGAGTTATTTATTTAGGACTAAAGAAGCCATTCATGGTGACACGTTTCTTTTAATGTCCTTAATTGTACACGAGTCACTTTCCATATTATTGTTCTAGCTACGGTATTGCTTTATTATTCGCTGTTATGACTTCTGTTTACCTGGAGAGAGAGAGTTTACCTGGAGAGAGTTCCGGGGGTCAACGCCCCCGCGGCCCGGTCTGTGACCAGGCCTCCTGTCAGTGAAAATCATGCATTATTTTCCTTTTTAAAAGTGAAACTTGTCAATATCCTGGCACATTATTTCTCCCGCAATTATTTTGGAGGGTTTTAGGAAAAAATGCATTTTGGAGGACGTATAGTACGTTATGGCCCCTCAGGGGAGGTTCCTTGACGCTGGTGAGGGGCTCTTGATCTGGGGCATTGGGTCTGTGCTCCGGTTCCCTGAATTAAGCCTGAATACCCTCCAATCCCCCCCCCTACATGCGCTGTATAATCCTGCGGGTTTAGCACTCTCCATAATTATAATATTACGTTATGGCCAGTTATAGCGAACGTAAACAAAGACGAATGGAATGTTTCCTATCTACCGCTGGCGAGTAAGGTTAAAATAGATTCTGTTAGGTTGAGCATCTTACATTTGTATGAAAGCTAGACATTTTTAGGAGTAATTTTTCGAACATTATAGTAATGGTTGGATTTGAGAAAGATCTGCCTAGTAAGGACCAGTAGACCTTCTGCAGTGTTCCTCCATTATTATGTTCTTTTATCTATAATTACCCCTGATTATCTCTCATTCTCTAGGCGCTGTAGGGCCCATACAGGTTTCACGCTTCATAAAATATAATAGTTAATAATAGTCTCCATTAATATATTAAATTAAATCTATACCTTTTATATATATATATATATATATATATATATATATATATATATTTACATATGTAAATTATCCAGGATAACCCCAAAAAATGTCAGACATTGATTTATTTCCATTAGGGTCCTTGTAATATCTTATTTTAACTTCATCCATTATTGCCTACCATGCCTGAATACGTCAGTCATTTCATAACTTCCACCTTTGTATCTCGCTTCCTCCCGTATCTTTCATTTCCTGGTTCACTTAAGAAGGTTCACTTGATATAAAGGAAGCGTTGCGCATCACTGTGATCAAGGCTGCTACTATTGTCTTGAAATATTGTTAATACTTGTCTTCTCTTACCACAAGTTCACATAACCCTTGTGTGGCTGATGGCTTTAAAACTTGTAAATCAACCGCAACATCTACAACAACCATACATATTAACACCAACCCTACCAACCACCACCACAAGTACCACCACGACCACTAGTACCACCACGACCACTAGTACCACCACCACCACTAGTACCACCACTAGTACCACCACTAGTACCACCACCACCACCACAAGTACCACCACCACAAGTACCACCACCACAAGTACCACCACCACAAGTACCACCACCCCCAAAGTACCACCACCACAAGTACCACCACCACAAGTACCACCACCACAAGTACCACCACCACAAGTACCACCACCACCACCACAAAAACCATATCACTGTTTTAGTAATCACCTCCCACTCCAACCACACCACACCAATAATCTCCACAAAAACCGCCTTCACAAACTCGAAGAGGAAGAAATAAAAAGAGAAAGATGGGGGAGAAAGAGGAAAGAGAATGAGTAAGGAGAGACACGAGGGGAAAGAGAGTGATAGCCTAATAGAAATAGAAATTGAGTGAGTCGAGGTGCTCGTTAAAGCAGTCAAAACATTATCTTGCGTCTATATAACCTACATTTACGATGATCTCTCCAGAGCATCGAAGAGTAAACCTTCACTCTATGAAATAATTGCCTACTCGGTAAATGTCAACAACAGCAACTACAACCACCCTCACCACCACTACCACCACAATCACTAAGAGGAATGTGAGCACCAATAGTGGGATTGATCTGGCCCCCATACAGTACACAAGGCAGCGTAGTGTTGGCTACTTAGTAGCGAGTGTATCAGCAGGCATCCTGTCGCTGGGTTTCCGGCGCTGTATAGTCCTTGTGGCTTAGCGCTTCTTTTTTGATTATAATAATAATGGGTTTCCGGCTCTCTGTCACTCCTCCACGATACTCTCCTTTTATGAAGGTGACAGCACAGCAGTTGCAGACTATAGATAAATTTCCGTCGCTGCGAGAAAGAAGTCATTCCCCGTATTGCATAACCCCAGCCCCCTGTACCTCAGTGCTGAGTGCAGCAGAAGTCTGTAATGTAATTCAGTATTAGCGTTGGAGATTTTCAAGTGAAAGGGCCGAGGTGGCATTCACAGGTTATCACTTGGAAACTAATGTCATAATTTCTTTAATAAAAAAAATGACAGATGAGGACATACACAGCCCAACACAAATTCAAACTTTCCACCAAGAAAGACCTGCTTTTAAAAATTTCAAGTCAAGCTGGAGAGGCTTTATGTTGTTATCTCACCATAATACACTAACACTAAGGTTGAAGCAGCTCAGGAGCTGCATTATCAGGTTGAAGGTTTGAACTCAGATGAGGAACTCTCAAATTAGTTATCAGAAACCAGTATTTCAGTTATTGGAGTGCTTAGTTATGATTATAATAATCATAACAATGGCACCAACACATGCCAAATCAATTCAATCTTTTCTCTGAGACTGACTAGGGATTAATGCCTAGTAATTTTTATTTAGGGTTTGGATAACTTACAAATGTGTTAGTGGCGTTGAGGACTCGCAGATGTCACAGATACATACAAATTACATTAGGTATATTTAAGCTAGGATAAACCAGTCAAGTCAGAGGCTGACCTCTCCTGATCAGGAGAGATTCTCCAGTTATTTCATGAAACACAGAGCTTTGTTAACAAACACATCAGCACTAAAAGGTTAAAGCTGACCAGACGCTCTGTTCTTCAGCTCAGCTCTTGCACAGAACCCAACAAATTCAAGCGTAAAGAAAAATAACACTTGCATCTACAAAGCATAACCCCCCCCTCCCCCCCCCCCCCCCCAAAAAAAAAAAAAAGTCGTCCATTTCATAGCCAAATCCGGCATTAAAACTACTCTTACACTCTCTCCTAAACACTTTTTACAAACCCTGCAACTCACAAGTCTTAACGTTGGATCAGTGGAAAGTCCACTGATCCAGTTCCTGGAATTTACCTGGAGAGGGTTTCGGGGGTCAACGCCCCCGCGGCCCGGTCTGAAACCAGGCCTCATGGTGGCTCAGGGTCTGATCAACCAGACTGTTATTGCTGGCCGCACGCAGGCTGACGTACGAACCACAACCCGGTTGGTCAGGTACTGACTTTAGGTGCCTGCCCAGTGCCTTCTTGAGGACAGCCAGGTGTCTATTGGTAATCCCCCTTATGTATGCGGGGAGGCAATTGAACAGTCTTGGGCCCCGGACACTTATTGTGTTCTCTCAGTGTACTCGTGGCGACCCTGCTTTTCATCGGGGAATGTTGCATCTTTTGCCGAGTCTTT